CGTTTGCGTCATTTGTGAATTACAGTCGCTTTCTACTACAACCATAGTCTACAAATGTGATCTTTTGTCGGAATCCTAACCCACAATCATAGTCATTATTTTTGTGTTATCCGCTTAACCAATATCAGAACACATCACTAGACATAATGTTGATGCAAAATTATACTTTTAGCCTTTAAATCAACACCAACATGGCAGCAGATCAAAAAAGGACCATTTGTGGAAAAACACCCTTAAAAAGGAATACGGGAGTAATATTTGATAATAGAGGACTAAATATGGAAACCCCATGTTATAAACGACTAATTATGGAATTTACTCTATTTTTTATTACGTTTAGGAAAATCTAAAGGATAATAAAGCAACAGTGTCAACCCCATCTAGGGGCTTTGTCCCTTAAACACTGCTACCTTGATATGAAATTCTAATCAAATATTTGCATTAAATAGCACTAAAACTTAAGTCATTTCATTAAATATCACTTAAACTGTTTTATTTCCTAAATAGTACTTAATAATGTCTATAATGTCCAGTGATGACGAATATTTACTTGAATAATGACTAATGCATAATGACTAAAAATGCTACATTGGGAAGAAAAACACATGTGGTGCTATTTAGGGAAAGTCATTATGTTTTAGTGCTATTTAAGTAAATTTCTCATTTGTGATATTGTTGAATGTGTATGCACTCTGCACTTTTTGTAACACCCCGACTAGCGTAATCTAAACAAATGGATTAGGGAACCGGGTTATTACTAAGTTTGTATCCACATACAATATTTTTTCAAATAAATTAAAATCATTTAATTAAAAGTCGAAACATTTTAGAATAATTTAAATGTTTATCGATTTTAATTCAAAAAAGTGCAGAAGTTAAACTACCATTTAATTAAAAATATCCTCACTTTATTAACAGAAAACAACAGTATTAATTATTTCCTTGGATTCCCGCATCCACACATCTCCCTCATCTCGTTGCTCTGCAGAATCAATTGATCTCAGTCTTACCTACGTGCAGTACAAACAAAACGATTGCATGCTCGGCTATAAATCTGAGTGAGAAATATCTAACATATATTGGAATATACACTTAAGCAAACTCACTAGGTCTGGCATAATTTGTAACACCCTAATCCATCTAGGTCGGCAACCCCTTTCGACTAAAGTATAAACTTGGTAATCGTAAAATTTAAAACATTTCAAACACTTTTATTCATCACAATAATATTTATAACATAACAGTACAGAGTTTCAATGTTGCGAAAGCTTAACAAATCATAACCACAAAACATAATTAATTTATGTCCTTTGAAATAACAATTCAAAACCATCACATCCATCCCGACTATCTCGCCTCTGTCTGCCGCCAGGATCATGTGACATCATTCTTTCTATTTACTTGCGTGTAGCAAATAAAATTACTACCCGCTCAGCCCGCTCAGCGGTAAAGCTAAGTAAGGATATCTATTGCATCGAACATTCACATAAATTGAATCTCAATTCATAATCAAATCATTTGATATCATTCACATAATATTAAATTCAGATATTTTGTATTAATTCATATCAGATCATTTGATATCAAACACATGTTCTTCAATTCAGATATTCAATATTCATTATTTCAACAGTACTTTTAAATTATTTTAATCTAAGGCCAAATCATAATAACGCTCTTAAACTATTCTTAGTCTAAAGCCAAATCATAAAAATGCTCTTAAACTATCGTTTAAGTCCAAATCCATATTTTCATAACCAGACTTTTAAACTGCAGCTAATTTAAGGGTATTTTATATTGTTAACTAGACTCTATCCATATTTTCATAACCGGACTTTTAAACTGCAGCTAATTTAAGGGTATTTTATATTGTTAACTAGACTCTTAAACTATGGTTAGTTTAAGGCTATTTTATTTGATTAATCATACCCTTAAACTATAATTATTTTAAGGCAAATAATAACCAGACTCTTAAACTATAATTAGTTTAAGGCAGATAAATACCAGACTCTTAAACTGTAATCAGTTTAAGATAGAAAACCGAACAACGGACTACTCACTATCGGGTCGGGTGGTACCTCAAAATCAATAGATACTCAAGTTTGGTTTTCAGATCCCATACGTATGTTTTAACCCTGGCCACCAGGCATCATACCCGCAAGGCCTTACAAAATTGGTCACAAGGGGTCTATCTTAGAGTTCTTCTAGATAACCTTAATCATTCACTATCACCATTTAGTCAAGATATTCATACAAACATATTCAGCCACAATTATTCTTATGGTTAATTTATTCATAACAACATTTTGATATTTTCTCAGAATAAGATTTTCATCATTATATGATTATAATTACACAGGGCACCGTTTTAACCATCATGATCAATGTTTAATAGAAATCATTATCAACAACATTTCATTATGGTATATATTAAACCATGGTTAATTCATCATAATCAATAATAATCATCATAATATTTCATAACAACTAGCGGCCTAGTGTTGGGTGGTTACACCCTAACTTACGGTCATGCATCACACAAGGTTCTTGGATTGGTCAAAACATCATTTTTATTTCCAAAAATCATTTTCATTTTGGTCATAGTTGAAGGGTATCAAAAATAGGATTTTATAGATTTAAAATCAGTTTTTTCGTCATAGAAAATGTTCGAAACAGTTGACCGTTACCGTCCGACGGTCGACCGTTTCCGCTACCATTAGTGGTTTGGAAACTGGGCACCGAACGGTACAGCCTCTACCGTTCCAACGGTAACTGGTTACCGGACGGTAGACCGTGGCTAGACAGTTTGTAACACCCTAATCCGTCCAGGTCTGCAGCCCCTTTCGGACTAAAGTATTAACTTGGTAATCGTAAAAATTTAAAAATTTCAAACACTTTTATTTATCACAACAATATTTTTCATAACAGAAACGGTAAAGAGTTTTCAATATTGCGGAAGCTTAACAAATCACAATCACAAAACATAATATATTTATGTTCTTCAATTTAAAACCATCACATCCATCCCGACTATCTCGCCTCTGTGTGTTTCTAGGATCACGTCACATTATTCTTTTTATTTACCTACGTGTAGAAAATAAAACGCACTACACGCTCAGCGGTAAAGCTGAGTAAGCATATCTAATGCGTCAAACATCCATATAAATTGAATCTCAATTAATAATCAAATCATTTGATATCGTGCACATAATATTCAGTTCAGATATTCAATAATCAATATTCTTTATTCATCATTCAATAATCAACATTCATCAACAATATCCTTAAACTATTCTTAGTCTAAGGCCAATCTCTTTAATGTTTACCAATCTCTAAGGCCAATCTCTTTAATGTTTACCAATAGTTTAAGGTACTACTAAACAATTTTTAAGCTAGGCCTAGTTTAAGATTCAAATTTTCAAGAGAGGTTTTCAAAATCTTAAACTTACCTTTGCTTAAGGTCAACCAGAAACCGAACAGCGGAATGCTCACTGTCGGGTTGGGTGGTATCCCCAAACGAGTGATCCTCATGTTTGGTTTGCAGATCCCATACGTTTTTACCCAAGCCACCGAATATTCATAGTTATACCCGCAAGACCTATTTCTAATATATCTTAGAGGTCTTCTAGAGAGTATTAGAAACCAATGTCAACATGGATATATCTTAGAGTTGTTCTAGATATCCTTACAATACAAATTATCAACGTATTCATTTTAGATCATTGTTCAATCATTCACAATAATCATTTTAATTAGTAGGTTCATCAAATCATAATCATTCATCATAATCATCAATCATATAATAGCAAATAGCGGCCTAGCTTTGAGTGTTAACACCCCAGCTTATCGTCGTGCATCCCACAAGATTTTTATTTGTCAAATACATCATTTTTATTTTCAGAAATCATATTCATATTGATCATAATTGATTGGTATCACAAATAGGATTTAATAGTTCAAAAATCAGATTTTCTGGAAAAATATCGGATCAGACAATACACTTCACGGTACCTCGGTACCGGCTAATGGTACATCGGTACCGTGCCGACGGTACAGGGTACCGCTGGTCATCAGGTACCGTTAGAGAGACTGGTGACGACAGTAGCATATGTACTGTTCTGGCGGTAGGTAGGTACCTTTTGAACGGTATCTAGCTATCGTGCCAGCAGTAGTGTGTTACCGTGCACGGTTCATCGTCTTTTTCCTCGGGTCCATTTTCAGAAATATCATTTTTAGTCACCAAACTTCAATTAAACTATATCGAAATGTTCTCCAATGTTCATAGATCATTTTTGTATCATTAGTTCACAGTTTTAACAACAATTTCCAGGTTTATGATTCTTGGTTTTTCAAACATGTCAAACACAAAACTCAACCAAACGACCATTTATGAATGTAAAAACGATCTATACAAACATTGTAGTCACTAGATATATCTTCACGCTTACCTCGAAGCTTAATGAACGTTTTAGAAATTTTTTGGTGAAATGTCCGCTGATGATTACTCCCAACTCTGGAAACCTCTCACTAAATTGACAACACCAATGTGTTCTCCTCACTCAGAGCAACAGAATAGAAGGAAGAATTGCGAAGAATGGTGAAGAATTGAAGAAGTTGGGTGCTCCTTATATAGTGAGGAAATGGAGAAGAAGCCAAAACCTGAACCTTCTATTTCCTGTTCGTTTGACCAACTGAGGTGAGCGACACCGTTCGGGGATTTTCATACATCATTCCTGATTGGGACCAATTTTGGTTCCAGTCGGGGTACACTTTTTGGTCTAACTTTCCCCGATTTGAATGTTATTTGCACCGTTGCGATCAGACAGTCGAACTCTATCCAACGATATAATTTTTGAATTTATGTAACGCCACAACCCGAATACCCAAATTTATTCGAATATCCGACTCGCGGTGTTAACGGGTGTAACTTTTTGAATTGGAAAATGGAGCATTAAACAAAACTTATTTACTTATTGATAATATCGGAGTAACTATTATACATTTGGAAGCTTAACATATTCGTACAAAATATATATTTCAAAATAACATCTTTATTATTGTTATCATTCTTTATGTCATCTCGTACATCTTTCCATCGCCTTAGCATTGTCCTCCGGTTCAGTCACTATTCTGTTTGTGTACCTAAAAAATGGAGCCAACCCGATCAGCAAAAGCTGAGTGGTACCAATTATAACAATAGGTACAAAATATAATAGCGTAAACATATACTTTTCTCAAAATTCTTTACTTTGATAATATCAAATCATTTCTATTTCAGTATTCCATAAAGGTGCAATATCTACATATTTGAACTTTTTTCTTTACTCTGCTTTATTCTTGTTTAACTCGGACTTCAAGTACTTAACGTACAAGACAAGTCCATTATGTAACTGGGACTCCGAGTACTTAATGTACACGACTAGTCCATTATGACGAGCTCGTACGTACGGCAATGGAGGGGTACTGGTTAACCCTATCAGAAATCGTTTATTAAATTTAGAAAATATAATTTGTATCTGTTTGTGTCCCATTTGAATCCATATTTCAAATTCAACTCATATTATATTATTATATAAATAGTTAGTACGCAAATCTAATAATAAACATAGAGTATTTCAAAACTATCGTTTTTTTCTTCTTTAAATAAAACTTATTAAAAACATCCTTTAAATATAATAACTTATTAAAAACCTTATGGGGCTAATTCTAGAAAGTTTGGACGTAAAGCATGTTTGAAATAATTAACACCTTTTATTTTCCGAATTCTAGTGACAGAAATTAAACAGAATATATACATGAAATCATTGTATAAATCTACGTATTATATTAAGTATCGATTGTTATACGGGCAGCGGTACTCACCTTATGTTAAATAGAGTTATAATGTTTTGTCGAATCTCGTCAAAACTCGAGCGAGTTGTTGTTTGTTCCGGCGAGGATGGGTTTCCTTTTTTCCCCTTAATTAGTTTGTAAGATTTTATCTAGCTCGCCTCCATTTGATAGGGCATAGGAATGCAACCCAGGTGCCCTTTTTATAGAGTTTTTTTTATTTCTTAGTTGTGAAGAAACTTAATAAAAATGAGTGATGACACAATTCGCAGCCAATTCCAGCTATTGCATGCCATGATTAGGTTACTATTCATTCCCTTATCTTATAATTTTTTTGTTGACATTATCCTTTAATCTAAGTCGGCCCAAAATTTAATTATTTTATTAATTAACTTACTTCATAATTAATTTACTCATCTTAAATACCTTGATTTTAGTTTAAATTTTAATTACAATAAAACTTCCATTGACATGTTTTAGATTAATATGTAAATCTAGTTGAGTTGACATGACTATTAAGTTTACTACTTTAATTTATAAATTAATCTGATCCGATCATTAATTAGGTATTTCATCTATATAAAACTTCTAGACTAGTTTTTGAGGCATTACATGTAACGCCCCAAAACATAACTTAGAATTATTAATAGATAATTATTAAAATAAATCAAATTTGTTTTAGTTAAAAATAAATTGTTATGGGCTTTGGGCCGATAAAAATATGTTTCGATATCCCATATCATAATCAGGATAAATCTCATAGAGATAAATCCAATTTATTGACTATTTGTGTGGTCTTGATTGGGAACCTGAGTACAGACCCAAATCAAGGATAAATTAAGAAATTTATTTATGATATGAACTTTGAAATGATTTATTGAAATAAATCATAAGAATAAATAATATAAATGAAATGTAAGAACCTTTTTGAGTAAAAGTCAATTAAATCAATTTTGACTCTGTCAAAGTCAACTACCCAAAAATATGATGTCGGAAAAAGTATTACAAATAAATATAAAAATTATATCGTTGGATAGAGTTTAAATGTACGATCACAACGGTGCAAACGGATTTCAATTCGGAGAAAGTTGGACCAAAAAGTGTTCCCCAACTGGGACCAAGTTAGTCCCAATCAGGGACTTGCGTTTGGAATCGTGGATATCGCAGCCCACTCCACTAGCCGCTCTAACAGGGAAGGTGACGCAGTGAATTTCATCTTCTTCCTCCAAATTCTCCTATATAAGAGGAACAATTCTCCCCCATTTCTTCACCATTTTCCTTCAAATAAACTCTGAGAGA